AGCAGTGGCTGGCAGGAGGCTGGTGGGGGTGGGGCAGGACAGCAGAGCACCAGGCTGTTTAGAGGTCTTCACCTGCAGCTGATTTTTTAATAAAGTATACCAAGACCTTCTTTTTCAAAAAGAGAAGCCCCCAAGATTGCAAATAGTCCAGATAGAAAAATGTCAGTCAGTTTAAGAAATTTTAATCTACTGTGTAGCTCAGCTCCACGGGGCCAGAAAATAACTCATCTATGGGCTTGGTGCCACCTATGAGCTGCTGATCTCATGTGGTTCCCTGGTACAGATCTACCTTCCTCGTTAACTCTGTGATAAACTGCTGGGGATGTATGCATAGTTTGGACAGTATTCTTTTTAAAAAATATGTAGCTTATTTTATCTTTTTTATTTTTATGTGTATGAGTGCCTGCATGTATGTGAGTGCACCCATGTCGTGCAGTGCCTTGGAGATCAGAAGAGGGCTTCAGATTCCCCTGGAACTGGAGTTAAGGATGGTTTGTAGTCGCCATGTGGGTGCTGGGAATCGAACCTGGGTCCTCTCCAAGAGGAGTCAGTGCTCTTAACCACTGAGCCATCTCTCCAGCCCCCAAACCCAGGTTCTTACACATGCTAGACAAGTGCTCGTCCACTGAGGTACACCTCCAGCCCCTGTTTTTCTAACTTTGGGTTGCAATGAGAAGCAAGTGGTTCTTCCTTTCACCTCACACATAGAATCCTCTGCAGGGCTATTAACTGGTCTGACGTCAACACTACTGTCACGTCTGTGGGAACAGGGACACAGGATACACAGGCAGTGCTGGTCAGTGGAGCAGTCAGAACACGACACAGACCACCACAAAGCATGATCAACAACGAATGTTTTAAGAGCACTCGTGGTGACTTGCTGCACGCAGAGTGTATGAAGCGTGGTGGCTGCGAAGCACTCGGGTGAGGGTGCCTGCACTACTCAGTGAACCCCCAGGTTTCTGGAACAGAGGCTTCCATGCATCCATGCACTTCTGCACTGCACCTCTGAGCCCCTAGTCTGCTCAGGTCACCATTCAGCACCAGAGGCTTGAGGTCTGCCGAGTCTGCCCAAGTGCAGAGCTGTCTGGGTAGCTTGGGATCCCCTTGCCAAAAGCCCATGGGGGTAGGGTGGGGAGAGACATACGCCTACGAGGGACCGCCCGTGTGCTGACACTTTGCTTTCTGTTGTGTGGCTGGTGGAGGTAGAGGAGTTAAGTTGGCTCTGAATTTCTATTTCACTGGCATAATTATAAAGCTTTTTAGCTCATGCTAGTCCCAGGAAGTTTCCAGAAAGTGGCTAATTCTGCTGTATCTCTTCCTGTGGTGTCTCAAAGCCACAAGCACTCCTGGGCTTGCACTCAAGACTGGCTGACAGCAGCCTGGAGCACTGCAGCTCACACTGGTTGTGCGTGCTCAGTGACAGCACACTTGGTCTCTGATTATGGGAGAGGACCGACATGGTGAGCCCACAGGGCCCAAAGCTTTCTGAGCAGGGAACAACAGTCTGTAGAGACAACTGTAATAGCCAGCCACCAGCTCAGTGTTTAAGTTTCAGTACAAAGTCACCAAAAGTCACCAAAAATAGGCACCCACAGTGACGAAGGAGAAGCATTTGCTCAGCAGTTTAACAAAATCCACCAGGAGACGACACCCTGGACCACGATCTGCTCCTTATTCCTTGTGCTCTGGGGGTGACACCAGCCCAGCACAGCCAGATGCAAAGACCATAGGTACATGGCTTCCTGCCCTGTGCACCTGTGATGTGACTTGGAAATGTGGTCTACCACAGGAGAGCACAAACGACCAGTGACCTGCGGCAGCACTCCAACATGGCTGTGGGGAAAAATTTAATGTAAGCATTTCTCCATTAGATCATACAAATAAATAAGCTCAGAAGAGTTGACAGGAAAAACACAAATAAGCAAATCTTCAATTTGTCTTCAGTCTAAGAAGTAATGAGAAGATGTAAAACATTCAGCATAAATGTCCTAAAATAAAAAAATCAAGGACAAATGCTATTCTTCTTGTGTAACAAGGCTACAAATAGCACTTAAATACTTAATTTATGATTCAAATTAAGAAATTACACATTTTATTTGATAACGGTCATTGTCTTAAAAGTGTCATTCAGGTTTCCCACACTTAAAGGTATATTGCTAATTCTGGTCACCTAGCCCCACCAGCATGAAGAGCTTCCAGCCACACAGATGCTGGACTGGTTGGAGACACTGGGTCTGGAGTCCTTGCCAGCTCCCTGCAGGCCATTCCTTGCATGTTGGCCTCCCAGATGCTTCCCTGCTTTCCGTTTGCAGAGGCAGAGGTCACCAGGCAACAAGACAGACCCTGATAAAGTGCCTAGTGAGAATCGCCTGTGGCTGTTCCCCTGGCACACGCCAAGGATGCCGTCTTCCTGTCAGAACAGCAGGAGGAAGCATAGGTGCTGGGGCCCGGCGAGTCCCCCCAAGACACCTGGGATGACGGCAGTATGGCTGGGCCAGGAGGGCGCGTGGGTCACGGAGAGACGCAGCCTGCCACTTTGGTTCAAATGACTTTAATAGAAGCCGCAGTGCCCACATCCCCAATCACCACTCACTACAGGGGACACAGCTGCCTCAGGAAGTGCGGGGACCCTCCTCCTCCTCCCTCGAAAGCTCTCCAGGCACAAGGCAGAGACAGGAACAGAGCAGTGAGTGCAGGAGTCACCTCACACCCACACAGCACTGTCCAAACCTCACGACACAGGTCAGTGGGATTCTGAAAACAAGCATGCGAGTCCTGCCTGGGGAAATGGCTTCAAAAGCACAAATAAAATAATACTATCGCTATGTGTTTTCCAAACCTAACCACTTTGGGAAAAGGCAGTAGGAAAAAATGCCTTTAGTTTTTACAATTAGGCTTGTAAACAATCAACCACATGAGAAGCAGTGGCCCAGAGCTCTGCATCTCAGCTCCAGACTCTGCAGACGCAGGTGCCCAACCCAGGAGGGGATGCTACTGGGTCACCAAGGCCAAAGCTTCATCTTTGGTTAATTTCACTGAGTTGCCACTAGCCTAAAACCTGTGCTCTTCTTGGCAAAATTACTAAACCAGCCACATGGCACATAACAATGGTTAAGTTATTCAAAAAGCAATATCCATCTACACAAGTGACCATGTCACAATAAAATCATCTAAAAAATTAGAAGGGGAGGAATGCCACAAAGAAGGCCCAAGGAGAGCCATGGGTCACGCCTGAGTACTCTCATGGACCTGGCAGGCTGCTGGCTGCTGTTGGGTCAGATCTAGCTCTTTGGGCTCAGTTCAGCTAAGCTCAAAGCCAGCGGCACACTCGATGGCATAGAGCAGCTTGCTCCGCAGCAGGGCCTCATCGTAGAACTCCGGGAGCTTCAGCAGGTTCATGCAGGTGCTGGCTGTGGGGAGCCGCTCAAGGTCAGAGCCTCCATTGTGGATGCAGAATGCGGGGTATAGCTCCTGGAAGACAAGGCACAGGACACAGTCAGAGAACCCTGCTGTAGTCAGAAGCCCACTAGCTCTTGCCCTGCCAGAGAGGTAACTGTTGCCCAGCAGTTAGTCACCTTTCTCAAGTATGTGCCTCCCTCTCTCCCTTCCCTCCCCCCTCCCTCCCTCCCTCCACCCTTCCCTCCTCCTTTGTCTTTTTGACACAGGTCTCCCTGCAGCCCCAGCTGGCCTGGAACTCCCTATGTAGACCAGGCCGGATTTGATCTCACAGCCTCTGCCTCCTGAGTGCTGGGACTAAAGGCATGTGCCACCATGCCTGGTCTTAGGTTATGGTATTCTTTAGAAGTTGGAGAGATGGCTCAGCAGTTAAGAACACTGGCTGCTCTTGCAGAGGACCCAGGTTTGATTCCCAGCACCCACATGGTGGCTCACAACCATCTGTAACTCAGTCAGATGCCCTCTTCTGGCCTCTGTGGGCACCAGGTATGCACAGAGTGCACACACATACATGTAGGTAAAACACATCAAGAAGAAAATGCTTAAATTACATTTTATTTATTAAGTGTGCATTTGTGTGTGGATGTATACATGCTACGCAGAAATGGTAGGAAAGTGCAGTCTCCAATGCTGACAGTAAGTAGCAGAGAGGGACCGACTGACTGAAGGGTCAGCAAAGGATGACTTCAATTTTTTCTTGTGGTCTTTTTGAGACAGGGTCTCCCTGTAGCACCCAGCTGGCCTGGCACTTGCTATGTAGACCAGGCTCACAGAGATCACCTGCCTCTGCCTCCCGAGTGCTAGGACTAAAGGGGTACAACACCACAACTGGCCTCAAATTTTTTAAAATTGTGTGTGTATGTGTGCATGTGTGTGGGTGCATGTGCCATGGTAAATATGTGGAGGTCAGAGGACAACTTGTTGGGAGCTGGTTCTCTTTCAACTATCTGGGTTCTAGGGCTCAAACTCAGGCTGTCAGGTTTGGCAGAAGGCACCTTTACCCAGAGTCATCTCACTAGCCCCTCAAGTGCTTTAGAGTTGCACCAGAACCTGAAACTGTTTGCAGAATATTGTCATGGTACATTATTGGCATTATTTTAACAGTATGCATGGCTATTACATAACCTAAATGTGAAGTGGCCACATTGGAATGTTCTTCCTCTGTCCATGGAGCAGCGAAGCTGGAGCAGACAGCTTCCAGGAATGAGGGAGCGAATAAGGTCTTGGCTCACAGTCCCTTCAGAGCCAGTTCTCGGGGAAAGGGAGAGACTTGCAGTCTTTGAGACAGGAACAATCCTGGCTGGCAGGGTCAACAGTTATCTGTAATGAAGGCTCTAGATATGCTTCATGGTGAAACACCACATTTTATCACCTCTTTTATAATGCTAATGAATTTCCTACTTGGAGTCTTTTTAAAAAAAATATTTTAGCCGGGCATGGTGGTGCAAACCTGTGGTTCCAGCGCTTGGGAGGCTGGGGCAGGAGGATCTCTGTGCGTTCAAGGCCAGCCTGATCCACAGAGTGAGTTCAGTGCTGGCTGGGGCTACAGGGAGACCCTGTTTCAAAAAAGACACCCCCCAATTTTTTTTTATTATTTTTATTTTATGTGTATGAGTGCACTGCCTGCATGTATGAAAGTGCTCTCATACTGTGCAATGCCCATGGAGGTCAGAAGAGGGTGTCAGATACCTTGGAACTGGAGTTACAGAGCCACCATGTGGGTGCTAGGAACTGAACCCAGCTCCTCTACAAGAGCAGCCAATGCTCTTAACCGCTGTCATCTCTCCAGCGGAGTCTTAAAAGTGGAAAAAATGAGGTTCTTTATCAAAATCTGAGTCAAAGGCATCATTTTGTACATAATTAAATACAGTATAATGGGAATTTGTATTAATTCAGAGAGAGAAAAGCCATCAATTTACTAGGTGGTCTGATGGTAACTTAACAGTTTTCTATAGCATTTGATAATTTTTTTGTCTGCAACAATCCTATTTACTAGACACATGCCATGGTCATTAGCTCTAGCAGATGCTCTTCTTCCCTAAAAACTGGCACAGATGTGTTCTGTGAGCTTCTCTGCTGCCTGTGGTTCTTGAGCTTGGCACCCTCCCTGCTCCGTGTCAGGCATGCGCCACCACGGTCTTCTTTTAGAAGGTAAGCTCAGCCTTGGCACAATTCTTGTTGGAACAGCTCACGTTTCTCTTTTCTTTCACTTTCTACGTCTTGATTCTGACGCTGTCTTTACTTTTCTATTCCTGGTAAACATAACTGGTTGTTTGTCTTGCCCCAGGAATCTGGGAGATTCACATGATTTCTGTTCTGTTTCATGAATAACATTATTTGCTAACAGGTGAAATCCATGTCTCTGTTGTTCACTGTACCCAAACTGGAGTGTAGATTATTGCTTCTGTGAAGGAACAGCTCACTACTGCTGTGCAGATGGTCCTCATCTCCAGGTCTGTCAGAGTCCTTGGTACTTAACTAGGATGCTGTATGAACCTATTACTCTGTTTTTATTTTTATTACTTTTTAAATTTTTTTTTTATGTGTATGAATGTATTGCCTGCATGTATGTGAGTGCACCTGTGTAGTGCAATGCCGGAGGTCAGAAGAGGGCGTCAGATTCCCTTGAAACTGGAGTTAAGGATGGTTCGTAGCTGCCATGTGGGTGCTAGGAATCGAACCTGGGTCCTCTGCAAGAGCAGTCAGTGCTTTTAACCTCTAAGCCATCTCTCCAGCCCCACTATCCATTTAAAAAAATTATTTATTTTTTTTATTTCCTGTGTATTTTATGCATGCATGTAAGTGCACCCGTGTTGTGCAATGCCCTCAGAGGTCAGAAGAAGGCATTGGATCCCCTGGAACTGGAGTTATAGATGGTTGTTAGTCACCATGTGGGTGCTGGGATTTGAACCCAGGTCTTCTGCAAGAACAGCCAGTGCTCTTAACTACTGAGTCATCTCTCCAGCCCCGCCTATTTTCTAAAATAGCGTAGATAAATTGTAATTGGCCTACGATAGGATTTAGCCACTAAATTTATGATGCAGTTATTTTACCCAATGTCTAGAGTTATGCTGCCACCATAACCCAGAACCCAGTGAGGGACGACCCCCAAACCCTCAAGGCGCTCTCCCTCTACTTCAGCCTTAGTAGCCCAGAATGAGCTCTGTGACTCTGTCTTTAAGGGTATTTCACATAGTGGAATTCCACAGCAAGACGCTGTCATGCTCATCCTTCTGATTCCTACTACAGTAACTTGTTCCTCTTAGATTTTTGAATATCTCCAGTTCATGGCATCCATTACCAGCTAATAGCTTGTCATTTCCAGTTCAGGCTATCATGTTGTTGCATAGAACTGTTGTCCAACCTACAGACCATGGACAGATGCCTTCTTCCCAAGCTTGGTTGTAGGATCATCACAGCTAAGTTTGTTAACTGTTACATTCAGGAAGAAAGGAGGGGCAGGGAGAGGCAGCCACACCTCCCAACCAACCAATCTGCCCTAGTTGCATGGGGGTGGGGTGGGGGCTAAGGGTACACAAGCTGAGGAAGCTGTGGGGAGGGTCTCTTGCCATTTTGTGCAGCTGTGGGGTAGTCATAATCTATTCCTGGATAGACTTTCCAGTGTGGCCTTGAGAGTGGAGCACCCACACTCCTGTAAGTAAACCCTCACCCACTGCTCTGACAGTAAACCCAATAAACTCATTGGTTTCCTGGAGCAGTTTGGCGAAATCAGACCTCGGTTTGTTGAAGGGACCAAGGAAGGAGGGCTGGACATCATGTGCACCTCCTGGAAGGCATTTGGCTACACGTGACCAGTGCTCTCAACTACCCTGAGTGCTCCTGGAGGCGGAGCACCTGTACTCACCCAAACTGACCCCTGCCTCTTTACCAAGTAACAGAGCCATCTCCTCAAACCCCCAATCAACTTTAATCACTAAAAATGACAGGCTAAGTTATATAAGGGCAATATAATTTTCAGAAGTGATCAAACAAGGCTGTTAACACAAAGGAAGTACTAATGACAGCCACAACCAAAACCTCATGCTCTGCTCATCTCCAGCAGAACAGTTTTGGTCTGTGCACTTCAGTCCCAGGTGGAAAAGGATCACTGTGGATTGAGGAGGCTCATGATTTCAATCCCTGTCCATCCGAACACAGGCTTGCCAGACAGCACAAGTACTTACCACACTGAATGGAACAAACAGGCAACCAAATAAAGCCTGTGTAAGCAGAGAGTGGGCAGGACTCTGGTTTGAAAGTAAACGGCATGAAAGATGCTTACCTTGAACCCCAAGAGAGGGGGACGAGAGCAGCTTGTTACAAACTTTAGCAACTTGCGCTTTTCTTCATCAGTGAAACCTTCTACAACTCTCCAAAAGATTTTAATGACAGGATGATCAGCAGAGTAGCCTCCTGGGACAATCGAACAAATGCTGCATTGAGAAGCATGCAAGAATAGAAGCAACAAACTTGGTAGACGCTGTTTCGAGGAGCCTGAGCTCTGTGAGGGCCAAAATGGAAGACATCTGCCTCTGGTCCTTGGTGTGACATGTGTTCATGAGAGGGCAACTCTGAGTCACAGCAGGTGTGCTGAGGGTGTAAGATGATGGCTAGCAGACACTCATTAAAAACCAACACCATGTGGAAGAGACCCTACATGAACAGGGACTGACATGTGGCCACACATCTGCAAAATGTTAAGACACTGGGGGTCTGGAGAGATGGCTCAGCAGTTAAGAGCACTGGCTGCTCTTGCAGAGGACCTGGGTTTGGTTCCCAGCACCCACATGGTGGCTAACAACCATCCATAAATCCAGTTCCAGGGAATCTGATGCCATCTTCTGACCTCTGTGGGCACTGCACGACATGGTTGCACTTACATACATGCAGGCAATACATACATACATATGTAAAATAAAAACAATAAATATTTAAAAAATTTTAGACACTGGGGCCTTATTTCTAAGAGAGTAAGGCATTTGGCCAATGTGATCTGTGTCTCGTTAATTTTATTGCTTCTCTTTTTGATAATAAGGTTCAGACCATGGCCAACAACCAGACCTGCCTGTGATTAGACATGATTCTAAAATGTACTATCTGGTACTTACAGCTTTTAATCTCATTAAGTGCTTCCTAAAACTGAAATAATTGCTATATATTGTTCCCTCACTGTTAATACTTACAGAAACAACATCAGTAAGACAACGTAAGTGCACTAACTGGCAGTAGTTTAAGCCTATTTAATGGGATAGCAGAGACCGTGACAGGTATAAGCTCTCAGTGCAGACAGGGCAGGCCGACGACCCAGGGCAACTTCTTGGCAAAGGAAAGGTTGGAGTGTCAGGGTGATGGCATGTTCTTAAACTTATGACTTGAGAGCAAGGACAACATGACCTTTGGCATTATTTGCCTTTACATAAGATTTAGAGTTCAGGGTTAGAGCAACAGTAGCCACAAAAGAGATGGCCCACTGCCTCTGGATGCACAGATGGTGCACATACGATGGCATTTCGCAGAACACAGGACCTGGACTGGGGTTTTCCTTTTCTTTCTCTTCCTGTCCCACCTACCTCATTCTGATGTGGAGAGGGTCTGACTGTAGCACAGGCTTGCCTTGAACACAGAAATTTCCTGCCTTGTGAGCCACCCTGTACAGCTTGTATTAAAATTTTTTAAATTACATTTATTTACTTTATAAAATTTTTTCCTTTTTTTGTGTTTTTGAGACAGGGTCTCTCCCTGTAGCCCCAGCTGTCCTGGAACTCACTATGTAGACCAGGCTGGCTTCAAACTCACAGAGATCTGCCTGCCTCTGTCTCTCAAGTGCTGGGATTAAAGGCATGGGCCACCACGCCTGGCTGATTTTCTTTTTTTTTTTTCTTGTAGTAAAATACATAATTCACCATTTAAACCACTTAAAATTTTTTTTTATTTTATGTGTATGCGTGTATTGCCTGCATGTGTGTAAGCGTACCCGTGTTGTGCAATGTCCGTGGAGTCAGAAGAGGACGTCAGATTCCCCTGGAACTGGAGTTATAGATGGTTGTTAGCTACCATGTGGGGTACTGAGAACTGAACCCAGGTCCTCTGCAAGAGTAGCCAGTGCTCTTAACCACTGTTGAGCCACCTGATGATCTGAGTTCAATCCCTGCGTCCCACATGTTGGAAGGAGAGAACTGACTACCACACCCTTCTCTGACCTCCATAGGAGTGCCGACATAGGCACACACACACATGCGTGCACTTACACTCACAATGTAATGTGTGTTTGAAGACAGCATCTCCCTATATCCCCAGATAGCCTAGAACTCACTATATACCAGGCTGATCCCCTCACAGAGATCTGCCTACCTCTGCCTCCAGAGTACCAGGATTAAAGGGGTGTGCCACTGTGCCTGGCTTGTAATAAAAATGTTGAAAAATATTCATCCCTGTTAGAAAAATCAATGAAACTGCATTGTTTTTAAAGACTCAATGCCCACTCATATACATCTGCTTACCCACATACCCACCAGTGAACACACGGGTGGCTTTACCCTTTAGACTATGCGTAGTGCTGGAACGAACACAGGCACAGAGCATCTGAGTACCTGCTTTCAGCTTTTTCTCGCACGTACCCAGGACTAGAACTGCTGGACTATCGATGTTCAGTGCTCTTATCTGGCATTTTTGGTGGTGCTGGAGGCAGATCCAGGGTTTATATGCATGTCCCTAAGCTGCACGTGCAGTCCGTGTTTAGTTCTTTGAGGAGCCACTCCCTACATCCTCCTTAACACCTATGTTCTGATTTCTGTTTGTTTAATAACAGGCCCCCGAGTGAGTGTGATGCAGGATCTGTCCTCTCTTCAGAGCTAGTCTTATTTGTAACCCTGACTGACTTGAAATGTGCTACGTGGCCCAGGCTAGCCATGAGCTTGTGGTCATTTTTTTACCTCTGCCTCCAGAGTGCTAGAAGTTCAGGTAGGTGCTCCACACTTGGCCCCTTCTCTCCTCCTTCTCCCTCTTGAGAGCCCCAGCCCCAGCCCTACTTGATTTTCCTAATGGCATCTTTTGCAACACAAAAGTCTGTAGCTTTGAGGCAGCCCAGTCTGTCAGTTCTAACTCAGAGTCATGAAGACTTATCCTGCTGCTCTTTTAAAGAAGCTTTAGCAGGTACTGGCAGGGCTCCTTCACTCTGAGCTAGTACTGGGGCCCGTTGTGAAGTGGGTTCACTCACCCTCAGGTGGGGACTGTCCTAGAACCATCTGGACTGTCTTGGGAGTTTGTTGGAAAACCAGCTGATGGTGAATAACCCCAGGACATGTCAGTGTGCTTGTCCCGTCACTGCCTCACCTCTACTGTGGCTTTTCTGTTTGAAATCAGACGACGCTCTTCTAGCTTGTTCCATAAAATGGTTCTGCTAAATTATAGATACCACATATTGCCCAAGAAAATTTAAAATTAGTAGTTTTGGGGCTGGGGAGATGGCTCAGCAGTTCAGACCACTGGCTGCTCTTTCAGAGGACCCAGGTTCGATTCCTAGCACCTACATGGTGGCTAACGATTGTCCATAACTCCAATTCCAGGCGACCCAACACCCTCTTCTGACCTCTGTGGGTATTGTAGGGGTGCACTTATATACATGCAGGTAGTATATTTATACACATAAAACAATAGTAGTTTTGCTGATTTCCACAAAAAAAGCCTTTCTGGGATTCTGACAGAGATTAGACTGAATTTATAGGTCAACTTGGTCAGAATGGCCATTGTAACAACACCAAGTAGTTTCCCCACTACATTTGACCTTTGAGCTATCACAACTTTTCTTCCCTCAGTTTTCATCATGTAAATCTTAAAGAGATCTTATTTAGATCATGTGTGAGGGTTGCTTGTGAGTGTACGTGCCCTCCGATGCCAGAGGTCCTGGCGCCCCCAGAGCTGCTGAGGTTACAGGTGGTTGTGAGTCACCTGATGTGGGTATTGGGAAGTGAATTCACGCCTTTGGAGGCAGAGTATGTGCTCTTAAGTGCTGAGCCATCTCTCCAGTCCCCATTTTATAATTCTTGTGCTTTTATTTAAGATATTTTATTTTTATTTATTTTTGTCTTTTTAAAAAAACTTTTTTTTTCTTTGGTCTTTTTGAGACAGGGTCTCCCTGTAGCCCTAGCTGACCTGGAACTTGCTATATAGACCAGGCTGGCCTCGAACTCACAGAGATCCACCTGCCTCTGCCTCCCGAGTCCTGGGATTAAAGGCATGCACCACCACGCCTGGCACAATTATTTTATCTTTATTTTATGTGTATGCGTGTATTGCCTGCATGTAGGTAAGTGCATCCGTGTCGTGCAATGCCTGAAGAGGTCAGAAGAGGCGGTTGGATCCCCTGGGACTAGAGTTACAGACAGTTGTAAGCTACCATGTGAGTGCTGGGATTCGAACTCGGGTCTTCTACAAGAACAACCACTGTTCTTAACTGCTGAGCCATCTCTCCAGTCCTTATTTTTGGCTTTTTAAGACAGGCTCTCCCTGTAGCCCCAGATGACCTAGAATTTGCTATGTAGACCAGGCTGGCCGTGAACTCAGAGAGAGCTGCCTGCCCCAGCCTCTGCCTCCCTAGTGCTGGGAATAAAGGTGTGCGTCACCATCCCTGGCTAGGATATTTTATTATTATTTTTTAAATTATTTTTATTTTATGTGTATTGAGTGTATTGCTTGCAGGTATGTGAGTGCACCTGTGCCGTGCAATGCCTTGGAGGTCAGAAGAGGGCTTCGGATTTCCCTGGAACTGAAGTTAAGGACGGTTCGTAGCCGCCATGTGGGTGCTGGAATCGAACCTGGGTCCTCTGCAAGAGCAGTCAGTGCTCTTAACCACTGAGCATCTCTCCAGCCCCTGGAGAATAATAATTTATTATTATTAATAAAAATAATTATTTTTATTTAGTGTGTATGAGTGCACTGTCTGCACGTAGGTAAGTACACCCGTGTTGTGCAGTGTCCATGGAGGTCAGAAGGGGGTGTTGGATCCCTTGGAACTGGAGTTGCAGATAACTGTTGAGCCATCGCCTGAAGGGGTCAGCTCCTTCTGACCATTCTCTTAATGTTGTCTTTGGAAGTGGTTAACTGCTTCTGTCTATGTTTGGATTTGTCTTCCATAATAATGCACTTAGAAGTTTTCTTTTTAATTCCAGGCTGGCTGGGACTACAGGGAGACCGTCTCAAAAAAGACCAAAACAAAGGGGGATGCAGAGATGGCTCAGCGGTTAAGAACACCGGTTGTTCTTGCAGAAGACCCAAGTTCGAATCCCAGCACCCACATGGCAGCTAACAGCCGTCCGTAACTCCAGTTCCAGGGGATCCAATGGCCTATTTTGTCCTCCGCGGGCACTGCACAACGCATATGCACTTATCCACATGCAGGCAATACACTCATACACACAAAATAAAAACAATAAAAAATAAAATATTTAAAATGCCCCTAACTGAGAATTAGTTCAAATTCAATGATATCATGTTGGGGGCATCCATTACAGAAAAAAAAAAAAAAATTTTTCTTTTCTCTTAAAACATATTTTGGATACAATCTGTTAGAGATATGCATTCTGAATACTTCTGTCCCATGTGTGACTTACATTTTCCCAGGGCACAAAATTTTCAGGCTGGGGCTACGAGGAGACCCTGTCTCAAAAATAGCCCCCGCACCCCAAATATTTTTAGTGTGTTATGTATGTGGTGTCACACCTGTGCACACTCAGCCTTCTGGTGTCCTGTTGTCTGATTTACTCTGTCGGGGAGGGTCTCACGGAGCCTGGACTTGTGCTAGTAGCCAAGGCCTCAGCCACCCTCCTGTTTCTGTTCCCTTTGATCCCTGTAGCCCAGGCCTTATAGGAAACAGCTGTGGCCACACTTGACTTTTTATGTGGGTGCTTGAGACTTGAACTCAGGTCCTCATGTCTGAGCAGGAATCACCACTGAGCCATTTTCTAGGTCTTTTACTAGGGTTTCTCTCTGGGTGGTAGGCTGACTAGTACTTTATTTATTTATTTATTTATTCATTTATTTATTCATTTATTTATGTATCTATCTATCTATCTATCTATCTATCTATCTATCTATCTATCTATCTATCTATCATCTATCTATCTATCATCTGTCATCTATCTATCTATCTATCTATCTATCTATCTATCTATCTATCATCTGTCATCCATCCATCCACCCACCCACCCACCAATCAATGAATCATCTATCTATTGCAGCTTCAACCCAGGGCCTCACACATTCTAAGCACACACTGTACTACAGAGTACCACCCCAGATTAGTACCATTTTAAAAGCAAAAGTCTGGAAGCAACCACATGCCCAGAGTAGAGATATAAGAAGGCAGACTGTACAGACAACAGATGATGGAGACAGGGCAGGGCTCCGCTCCCTGCATCCTGCAGTGCTCTACCCACATAAGAGGTTACAGTGAAAGTTGACTTCTTGAAAGGGCACACCCAAATGTGCTGCCACATACCTGAATAGTTTGTAAAGGATTTTAGGTCCTCCAGACTTATGGGAACTTGTGCACCAGAAATTAATACCTGGAAAAAAAGTACTGATTGTAAAATTGGAGGAAGATTTTTCAGAAAGCTTTTTATTTCCTGAGACAACTGTGTCCCTGAGTCAGTGAAGGGCACCTGAATTTCCTGCTGGTCAAACATTCGGAGCCACTCCAGGCTGACGACATTGGCCAGGCCCTGGCGGAATGCCAGGCAGTGTGGGCGGATCTGCTTGTTCAGCCGATAGTCGGCCACCAGGTGGATGTAGGCGATGCGGTTGGCCCCAGTGACTGGGATGTCTTTCCCACCAAACTTCAGTTCAACCACCTGTAAACATAAAGCACAGGCTTCTAAGTGTGACAACAGGAATGAAAGCAAGAAACAAATGTTTCAGGAACCAGACTAGAGAGGTACAGCAGCTGTGCTCAGAGGCCAGCCCCATGGGGGCGGCACCTTCTGTCTTTCCCATCAGCCACAAGCCTGCCCTCCACAGTACCCAGAAACAGAGCAGCATGGAATTGTGACTTCATTTTTGTCTTTACTACACACTGCTTGCGCCGCGACCTAATGGACAGTGGTGACAATTAAGAGTAAATGACCAGCCAACTTTCTGTGTATTGAAGGAGAGTTAACAAGTATAGTTTTGGGTTGGGGGTGTAGTGACTCATGCTTATAATCCCATCACTTGGAAGGCTGAGGTTGGAAGCTCTCCAACTCGAGTCCAGCCTGAGCACACAGTAAGACTGCTTCAAAAACAAAACGGAACAAAACGAAACACAAACCATTTTTCTTCAGAGCGTAGCTGCACTCACAGTTGTTAAGCCTGGAGCACATACACCGGAGGAAATGCTGTGGCATTCCCAAACAGTGAGAACACGGCTCTTCTCCTCATGTGTGGTTGAATGTCCCATTGTGTCCAAGGCCTCACCTTGGCAACAGGTGCTGTGAATTTTCAGGGACCACAGCCGTGGGAGCCTCATCTACAAGAGCATGCTCTGAAACACCTTCTTTACAACCACTTAAGAGAGGGACACTCCTGGAGCTGGCTGAGGGTCACCTAGCCATGCATAAGGAATCTTAAAATAACTGGATGAAGGGGTTGTGGCTTTTTTTTTTTTTTTTTTTTTTGACTTTTTGAGACATGGTCTCCCTGTAGCCCCAGCTGGCCTGGACTCGCTATGGAGAACATGCTGGCCTCGAACTCAGAGATCCACCTGCCTGGGCCTCCAGAGTGCTGGGATTAAAGGTGTGCCCCACCATGCCTGGCTTTCATATACCTTTACCTAACAACTGAGTACCACACACCTCAGCAGTGGCTCTTATACCCCACGAAGGGCATTCAATGTGAAGTCAAGAGCTTTACTTAATCATCCTAAATCTGGTACTCCAGGGCAGAGTAGTATGCTAGTTCCCATTTAATAAAAGTTATGCAGCTTTAAACTTGAGGGCTAAACTGATTTAATTTCTTCATCATTTCACATTTTAAACATTTGATCTTTCTTACTAATTCACTTTCTTAAGTTAGGACTCATCAAATCTCACAATGGGCCTTCAAGCCATTGTCTTTAGGCTGAGTGAAGACTGTTCATTACCTTAATTCCTCTGCTTGTACTCAGCTGACAGTCCATCTGTTAACTAGGTCTCCTGAGGCTGGCCATTACATATCCATATATAAAACAGCCCTTCCCTTAAATGGATTAAGGCAGGTAATGATAATGATGTGCTTGTGTGATGTGAAGACAAAGGAGCAGTCAAGTTTTCAGTTAAAGGAACTTCCAAAGTCACCAATTACCCTGCCTAATCAGACAACAGTGATATTTCTAGTAACTTTAATATATAAAATTCTCTCTCAGGCTAAATCTAAACATCTATGTGTATTTATTTAAAAGTCACCCAAACATGTGCTACAATTCCAAGTCTGATAGGCACAATAGAATGTCCTTCAAAAGTTGGGGTGTGGTGGTGCACACCCTTAATCCCAGCATTTGGGAGGCAGAGGCAGGTGGAGCTCTGTGAGGACAGCTGAGCAGGTTCCTGGTCAGCTGGGGCTAGAAGGAGATCCTATGGCAAAAACAAACAGACTCACAAACCAACAATGAAAAACAAAACCAATAAAAAGAACAAAAAATGTTCTTCAGAGTAGACAGGGGAGTCATGGGCATGGCTCAGTAGTGGAGAGAGGGCTTGCCCAGCATGCTTGAGGCCCTGGGTTCCACCCCTAGCAGTGTAATGAATAGCACAGGGGAGCTCTCCTGGTAGGGACTGACCCTGGCACTTATGAGGCTCAGCTATGACAGCACAACAGCTGATCCTGCGACAGGGAAGGCCCTGTGACTTATCTAAGGCCACATAATCAAGTAGCAAACTGCATATTCCAACCAAGGTCTCATGACTCCACTCCAACCATCCACAGATTAGGTCCTGTCCGGCCACACTCTCTCTGCCTTGTTCTCTAGGAAGACACGTGTATGTTAGCAGCCTAAAACTTATGCTCATTATTAGATTAACCAACGGCCATACTGCTTACACTAAAGGAAACCAACCTGGGAGTAGTGCAGTTACTTTAAAAGGAAAGACAAACTGCTAACACAATGAAGATTTGCCACTACAGATCTTTATGTCACTACAGTTTATAAACTCGATTCTATACAGAAGGCCGCCTACTTGTATCTGTTTCTAGAGGAATACCTACATGCTTCTAAGTTAGCTGGCTTTATCACTGCATTTCTTTCTTTTTTAATATTTTTTTATTTTATGTGTATGGGTGTATTGCCTCCGTGTAGGTAAGTGTACCTGTGTCGTGCGATGCCCACGGAAGACAGAAGAGGCTGTCAGATCTCCTGGAACTGGAGTTACGGACAGTTGTTATCTGCCATGTGGGTGCTGGGATTTGAACCAGGGTCTTCTGCAAGAATAGCCAGTGCTCTTAACCGCTAAACCATCTATCTGTCCAGCCCCTCTTTTTTCTTCTAATTAGACTTTGTCATAACTGCTCATAAGTTATCGTATGTAACTTAACTCAGTGGTAATTCTGAGTAGCTGCAACATTTAATGTGCAGACTGCAATATTGTCTGTGGCGTTCTAGGGGAAGCCCTCCGTGTGAGACTCTGGAGGATAGCAGGGACACTACCGTCAGCAGTAGCCTCAGGCAGCAGCAAACACATCCTCCTGTATATGAAAATGTCCTTAACAACAGTACAAGCCTCACGCTCTAGCCAACACCTACTCTTGGCCTTCTGGGATTACAGAACTGAGCCACCAGGCCCAACATGAAGAGTCCTTTCTCAACTGCTTATCTGCTGCTCTGGCTGCTCCGTGAACTCTGTAGAGTCTTGGTAGGCTGTGCTTCTGGGTCAAAACCGGATCCATCAAAACCTCAACTTCCAGACAGGAAAACATGCAATGCCTGCACCCTGTACATTCTGAAGTGCGGTGGCTTCACTTCTTACTCCACGGTACTGCAAGCCCCACCACCTTAGGAACCATAAACTGGATCTCCTGATCTGCAGTGAGGTGTACACAGCCAAGGCCCGTTCTTTGGGGAGTAGGCCCGCCAGCCTCTTCTACACCACCCACCAGGCAGGCTACTGGTCACCTGGCAAGGGCCTCTCCTAGGTAGTTTTTCTTGGCTCTACCAGGAGCTGAGAACTTTTTGAGCTGCTTCTAAATTACATGTATCTTGCACTGCACAGGCCACACTGCTTTACAATCACAGATACTTCTCTTATTAAAACACATTTAATTTTATTGTAGAGACCGCACTCTCCTTCTAGAGTCATGGGAGTCATGGGAATCAAACTCAGCAAGTGCCTTTACCTGCTGATCCATCTCACTGGCCCAGAACACCAGCCATCTAAAAAATAAATCTACGCTGGGTGTGGTGGCGCATGCCTTTAATCCCAGCACTGGGAGGCAGAGGCAGGTAGATTGTTGTGAGTTCGAGGCCAGCCTGGTCTACTTAGTGAGTTCAGGTCGAGTTACATCTCATGACAAGAAACAGCACGGCAGTGAGGAGGCATGGAGCTACAAAAACAAGGACACAACCCAAACTTGAGCCTGTGCGCTGCCACAGTGAGATGCTGGTGACTGCAACCTGAGGGTGAAGGCTAGGCATGAGGCTAGCCTCCTGAGGGGGTCAGTGCCTCTCTAATGGTGAGATTAATGCTAGGCAAGTGCTCTGCTTAGTTATTAAGTTTGGCTACACCGATGACCTTTGAAAAACCTAGATTAAGAATAATATAAATTTAGAAAAACAGTTTGAAGACAAAGATATGTTCATAGTTCCAAACTCAATTACTGGCCCCAGAAAAGATCAGTGCTCCACGTCAGGAAGAACAGGGCTGAGGGCGCACTCAGAAGCACAGCACCTGCCCAGCACAGGGCCGGGTTCCAGGCTCCATCTCCAGTACCCAAGGGTACTGCCTACAGCTCTGAGGCTGTTAATATTTCATTTTATTTGGCTTCTAAATAAGCCATGCTTTCCTTAATCCACGTTTGGTTTTCAGGGTAGTAATGAATGAGCACAGCACCTGCCCAGCACAGGGCCGGGTTCCAGGCTCCATCTCCAGTACGGAAGGGTACTGCCTACAGCTCTGAGGCTGTTATGTTAATATTTCATTTTATTTGGCTTCTAAATAAGCCGTGCTTTCCTTAATCCACGTTTGGTTTTCAGGGTAGTAATGAATCATTCATGGGGATGGGGTGTATTTTCTGCTCAAACAGGCAAAGTCTTGCTATATAGCCCAACCTGGCCTTGTGATTCTGCTGCCTCAGCCTCCTGAGTACTGGGATTACACATCAGCACGCATTGCTTTGTATGCAATTTGAGGAGTTTAAGTTTTGGGAAGAGATTTACACACTACAGGTGAAGGGACAGTGTGCCATGGTGCCTAGGCGAGGCAAGGAATGACTTGTTTCTTTCTAGGACAATCTGAAATTGGTTGTAGTAATTGCTACACAACTCTGAGAATAGTTAGTTACTTTAAGAGGGTGAATTTCATGATCTCTTGAATTCTATCATGATGAATATATTTTAAGAAAACTAGTTTGGTCCGGGTATGGTGGCACTTGTTTTTAATACCAGCACTCGGGAGGCAGGCTTAACTCTAACTCAGGACTTTCTTTTTGGAAACCAGAGGGAAGCACCAGGAGCACCCGGATGGCCACGGGGCAGGAAGCACACCAACACCTACAAAGAGAGGACTGGCTCTCTGGGAAAGCTCAGCATTCACATGCCCACACAGGAATGAGATAAGCACTAGCTTCAGCACAGCTGAGAGGGCCAATCCACAGAGGAAGGACGGCCAGGCAGTCAATGCAGACACTGAGAACAGGTGTCAGTTTGGAGGCTGGGCAGCTGTGACTGCTGACTCCCAGCCACCAGACTTTCTACCTGCAATGTGCAAAAGCTCAGACGGTGTGAGACAGGCCTTACCTACCAAGGACACTGTGGTGGTGATGGGGGCAGGAGCACCTCCCTACTGACTGGAGACAAAACAAGCCCACGCTTACCTGGGCTTCCCCCAGGTCGTTGTTCACCACAGTGAAGTTTAGTCCCAGCTCCTCCACGTCCTCTTCATAGCTCTTGAGGAACAGCAGGTTCCTGTAGACTTCAGGGTCCAAGGAAGCCAGGTGGTGAATGTCCACATCTGCACTGGTACCCAGCAGCTTGGACAGGAAAAAGCCAGCAAAGGGCAGCTCCACCAGCATGTTTTCATACAGAGCCTTCAGACAGACAGAGGTGGACAGGGATTAGCCTTCAGTGCATTACCACAGCACACGCCTGATTCCACAGGGACAGGGTACTGAGACCAGACCCGGCTGCCATGTGAGTGTCAGGCCAGGGCCGAAACCACATGTGCTAATACCAAATGGGAGTTTTAAGAGCCAAATCTTTCAAACCACAATGGAGGTCAGCAAAGTTTTCCATAAAGAATCAGGCCTGAGTGTTCTAAGCTTTGCACGTGCAATAGGTTCCTGGTCTGCTGCACCAAATGACCACAAATGAGCAACTCAACAAACACCAGCGTGCTGCCTCACAGCTTTACGGCAGACCCCTCACTCTCCCTCTGGGTCCTCACAGCTCTGGTTAACTTCAGCATCCCCGTGTTTAGCGGCGTCTCTCCACTTCCTGCTTCTGCACTGCTGTCTTCTGTGTCTGCTCTGTGTCACAGCATTATGTTAGAAACACTGGTCATGGGATTTGGGGCAAATTCAGCATTTCTTTACATTTTAACTTGACCACATAGTACATTTCCACATGGGGCAATGTTCATAGGCTGGGTATGCTAAGACCTGAACACAGCTCTTTGGAGGTTACACACCTGGTCACCTCAGCCACAGCTGCCTACTCTGACCCTGTAATTCAAAAGCTTCAGGGACAGTGTGTATGACCAAGGGTGGTTGTGTTTCAAATGTAGACTTCATGTGACTTTCATATGTAAATACTTTATTCCAGTATATGGAAAAATAAAACAAACAAAAACCACCATTAGATGCTCGTTTGTTTTTTTTTTTTTTCCTTTTTGAGACAAGGTCTCACTGTGTAGCACTGGTTGGTCTAGAACTAGCTTTGTAAACTAGACTGGCCTCTCTGCTGGTAGAGAGACGCCAGCCTGATGGTCTGTGGAGCATAACTGCCCTGTGGAGGAAGGTGTGTTGTATTTGAGCATTGCCAGGGCCATGGAACTGACCTGGGAGGTGGGAGCATTCATTGCACAGGGTCAAACTCACGGAGGTCTGCTTGTCTGGACCTCCTGAGTGCTGGGATTCAAGGCATGTGCCACCATATTGATGTTTTTACTCCAAGTTATTACTACTTTGATCTTGTAACACTTTCCCCAATTATTTGCTTGATGAATTTCTTGTTTTTTTTTTTTTTTTTTGGTCTTTTTGAGACAGGGTCTCCCTGTAGCCCCAGCTGTCCTGGAACTCTCTATGTAGACCAGGCTGGCCTCAAACTCACAGAGATCTGCCTGCCTCTACCTCCCAAGTGCTGGGACTAAAGGCGGGCACCACCAGGTTCAGCTTGATGAATTTCGTACTTAGTTGTATCTATGCCCCAGCTGTCCTGGAACTCTCTATGTAGACCAGGCTGGCCTCAAACTCATCGTACTTGGTTGTATCTGAGCAACTTCAGGGATCCCCATTCTGTCACCAGGATAAGGTTCCCATTAGATAGCATGCATCAGGTTTTAAAGATTCTTTTATTTACCGTGGTGTGATAATTTCATTTACTCACCCAGTGATGAACATGTGTTTATACTTAGGAGTAGATCACAAGGTATGGAGGTAGTAGGCACAGGTATATTTACACGTGCAAGATGCTGCCCCAATCATTTCCAAACTGCCAGTACTTTCCCTTCCTAGCAGAGATGTGTGAGGACCCTGCTGGCTCTCAGACTCTGACCTGTCAATACTGCTGCCTTTTAATCTTGGCCCTTGTGCTTGGGGCAATGGGGCATCTGACTGTACTTGGAAGCTGCACTTCCTGACATCTATTGGATTAATTAGTCTTGGTGAATTATTATGTGGACCTCCAGAGATTCCCTAGCAGAAATGGGAGGTAAAATTACATAAGATTTCCAGTATCCGGTCAGAGATTCATGCTACATGTAAATATTCCAATGGCCCACAGCTGTAAAATACAGTAAGGACTCAGAAACAGGCTGTGAAATTTAAAAACAGAACATCCTTAGGGGCTCGGGAGATGGCTCCATCGTTAAAAAGTTCTTACTAGCAAGCCTAATGATCTGAGCTTGATCCTTGGAACCCACACAGTGGAAAGAGAGCTATCCCCCAAGTTGTTTTTTGACTTCCACATGTGCACCATGGCACACACAGGCACACAAAACCACATGAATAAATTTTAGAAACCCACATTCCTCGTGTCTTATTCTGACAGGCAAGCTTAGAAGTCACTTCATGGGCATCACACAGAGTACACCAGGACTGACTCTGTGGGACAGTGTCCTATCTTACTGATTTCCTCTACAAGTGCCTTTTCTGTCAGGATGTCTGATGCACACAGATCCCTGTCCATATGACCCTGTGCAATGCTCCCACCTCCCAGGTCAGTTGCAAGGCTCTGACAATGTTCAACTAAAATGCAACTTCCTCCACAGGGCAATTATGATCCACAGACCATCCGGCTATCATCTCTTCCAGCAGAGAGGCCATCATCAGGCCACATCACACACTCCAGATGAGACCTGAGGGTCCAAAGAGAGAGATCATCCTTCATACAGCCATGGTTCCTTGTAAAGCCACATTCCTCAAGTCACCTGCATCATTCAGTGATCTATGAAGTCACTAGCTCTCAAACATATACTATGAAGTCTATATACACAATGTGTGCAGATACTGTGGGAGGTCTGCTACTGAAGACTTGTCTGCTGAGAGGCCTGAAAGACACTAGAAAATGGCTGGGAGCATGTCCCACAAAGCACACTGTGTGTCACTGGGGAGCACATCCACAAAGCACACTGTGTGTCACTGGGGAGTATGTCCCACAAAGCACACTGTGTGTCACTGGGGAGCACGTCCACAAAGCACACTGTGTGTCACTGGGGAGCACGTCCCACAAAGCACACTGTGTGTCACTGGGGAGCATGTCCCACAAAGCACACTGTGTGTCACTGGGGAGCACGTCCACAAAGCACACTGTGTGTCACTGGGGAGCACGTCCCCAAAGCACATTGTATGTCACTGGCTTTGCTCCGGAAGGCCACCTCCACATACTCTGAAGTGCACTTCTCCAGCTGCCCTCCATGAAGACCTTGGCAGCCTCAGCTGGGGAAACCAAGGTCCATGTCCTTGTGGTTTATACCCACTTTGAAGACGAATGATCCCTCAATTAATCGAGAAGATGGCAACACAGAACTTCTTAACGAGAGAATGAATCATAAAACTGCAACTAGCACTTAGCATCTACTGATGATGTAAATAAGGAGTTGTTCCAAAAAGCTGAGGTTTGCTTCACGTTAAGAATGGTTAATACTATTAACCTGGAGCACTTATAAACACCATTACTTCTAAATGAAAGATGAGTTCAAAGGCAAGGACAGCATTCTGCATAAAGCTGCATGATTGATCCCAGGTGTGGAGAGAAACCTTATTTGCACAGTGGACTTCTAAAGTGAGCTGGAGTGTAAATCATTGGATGTTCAATAAGGAAGGTCATTGTTTGCCATTTCTGCATTAGTAACAATAAGCCAGAGAAATCCGTTAAATGTAGCAGGGCTACCTGAATTTTAAGCAGAAATCCCACCGTGACTCATAAAATGTAAATGCATAGGTATAATTTTTTACATAAGGCAGGTTTAAACCTTTAGAGCATTTAATATACAAGCACTAATAAATGATAGCACTAAAAACTGTGATTGCATCAGCTAAATGGATTATAAATTAAATTTCCATAATGTATGCATCTGAGATACAAACGAAAGCATAAATCAAGGTATTTTCTAAACATAGGTTAATTATACAACTGTAAAACTGTCTATTTTTTATGCAAAATAACCCACTTAGCATTTTCTAGCCTGCTGTCCACACTTGTTCCTAGAAGTGTATCAATAACTATCTGTCACAGAAACACAGCAATAGGCATGCAGAAAAGCCAGTGCTGTGTTTTCTAACCGTCTGTCCCTTATGAGTGTTTATAGCTAGAAAATGTGCCAAAACGATCTGAAATGAAAAGGATTAATTACGGTAGAAGCCTTTTAATATAAGTGAGTGCAGTCGCAATGTAATTAATGCAAATTGTGGCTCTATCAGGAGAATGAATGTGAGCTGTGGCACAAGCCACTTCTGTTTGCTGCCAAATAACTTCAGTAATTTACTACATTAAGAATCAATAAAAAAATAATGCTTTTCAAATGCATCTCTATCAATCTTCAGGTAGTTCTAAAGTGAGCATTTATAACTGAATCTAGACTCTAGGAGATGATGTCTTGCTTTAAAGCCATCCTAATTGGGCAAGGAGATAATTGTAATTATTTCCAATCATACGAACCACGGCTTGAAAAGAGAGGCCCAGATAAGTATGTATATTTGGAGCAACAGACTCAAGCAACCTGATCTTTTACTACTTGTGTTTTAGAACTACTAACTGGACTGGTACATGACGTTCTGGAGCCCTTAACTCCTGCTCGGAGGGACATATACCTCATCTTTGATACAGGAGTCCAAGTACAATCAGCAGTACCATTCATTTAAGACACCTATCCAGTGCCCACTGTATGCCAGGCGCCATCTTATACACAGGAATTCCACGTCTTTGAATTTGTTTATAAAAACCATTCTCCTTTCCTGATCCTTTTGAATCACCTACAATTATGCACACCATTAAGACTCATTTAAAATTTTTGGTTGTTACAGCCAACTCCTGGAGCATTTAGGTCCTCACAGCTACCTGACACTAAATTCAAACTGTGGCTAGGCCCCCAACCATGCCCAGGAAGCCAGGTGCCTTCTGCTGCGTGCCTGTGTCACGTAAATGTCAGCTATGACGAGTGTAACTGCCTGGCGTGTCAGCAGATGTGACAGGAGCCATGAGCACAGCCTGTGCTTGTCTCTGAGAGCAGGAGCCTCAGCTTGTGCTACAGTCCCGGAGGCAAAACTGCATTAAGTTCTGACTAAGCCAACGCGTCTTCCCTTTTGGGATTGTGCTCTGGTTTCACATCGAAGTCGCCAAGGATTGCTGGGGACTCTGCTGCACTCCACGC